TATATATAGTATTCTTATATAGTAGAAGTATATACGAATATGAATAAGTAGTATAATTATAAGTATAATAATATATATAAAGTACTCGTAAAAGTACGAGCAATAGTTCGTTGTGTGAAAAGCACTGCAGCAGTGAGTCACGTCATTTACTTACCCAGCGATACATATAGATTATAAATTTACATACACAGTAGACGGAAGATTCAGCGTTATGCTGTCTTGTATATCTGATCCGAAACTGAGGTAGCCGTAAAATCCGACCGCAAGGTTGAGCAAGGTCACCAAAATGCAGCCAGTGTTGACGACGCCGTTCCAAGTCATGTAGAAGCGGGGTGTTTTCATGCGATTTTCGATCGGCAGTACCTGAGAAAAACAGAGTTAAAAAATGTCGACTGTAAATACAAAATCTGCCGACGTCCTACCAGGCAGACGGCTTCGAAGGAAAACATGATGTTGCCAAATGCCAGCGGCAGAGTATCCATTGCGCGGATGGCCGGCAGCCGGCTCGAGGGCGGAAGCTGGAGGAACAAGTACTGAAAAGTAATGACGAAGCTGATCAAGTAAAGCAAGTTGGCGACCGTCGAGGGAAGGGTGAGGTATTTCAGGTGGCGCACGCAACACAGCGGAATGATCGGTATCAGCGTAAAGGCGACGTATGCTTGAATCGGAAGAACGCCATTCCCGTCTACGACCTGCAAATACACAACAGTTATACGCATAACGCATTTTTTGGCGGATAAACGATCCCTTAGCATTTTCTGAGCTTGCAGCAAATATCCTCCTCTGCGAGGCAGACACCTTTTCTTCGATTATATTACAATCACCTGCACATGCATTCGTCCATGGTTACATGTCAGCTACAGAGAATCGGCCACATCCCACTGTACCATGTCGTTTGCAGTTGGCAGTACGTCGGTCATTAATCATTATCTATGCTATGATCGGTGGATCATTATCTAATGATCTCTTATGTCAAAACAATGTGTTTAGCGGTTGAAAGAGAAAATGGTGATCCAAGTTTACCTTTGCCCGATGTTACAATAATCTATTCCGGTTATTGCCATAAAACTAAAATTAATCGTAAATCTCTAACGCTGACAAATATTTAAACTTTAACCCATAATGATTTAAACAAAGAAACGTATATAGCCAGAGCTTTAATAAATAGACTCTGAAGCTGCACAGCAATGAATTTCTTAAAGAAGAAATGAAACATTAAGTTAATCCGATGTAATTTTCCAATTAAATTTGTCAAAAATATTATAACCAGTGAAATAACATACTTGTAATTAACCCGTAATACCAGTAATGGTCAAGAGAACAGATGTACGAGACAAACTTTGTCTCAGCCGCTGGTTCTCGAAATTAAGAAGATATGGCTGCAACGGGTTCGGCACGTTTTGAGAGTGCCAACAGAAGGAAAGGCGAAACAGCAACGATTTTTTCAATCGATCGGTCAGAACTTCGGGAACAGCCAAGAATAACCTAGGAAGAGTCTGATCCACACTCCAGTAATCTCTCGCCAAAGCTCAAATGCTAGCACAGGGTCGAGACTGGTGGAAGCGTTGTCTGACGTGTGTGCCTCCGCGACCGAAACGATAAGCGGTCATCGAAACTGACTGGCGGGCGTAGTATGTAAAACTTCTAATAAACTTAATATTTTGTTAAATAATCCAGAGAATAACACTCTCTAGGATGGGCCTAAAATTTTTCACGCAGCTGCCAGAAATATCGTACAAGAGAAACAGAGAATGAGTCATGAGTGATTCACGGAAAAGATCGAGCTATCAAGATGAAGAATGCGGATGATCGCAGACGAGCGTGAACAACACCTGACAGTGAGGAAACAAGGACTCGGAAAGAAAACAAGGAATCAAGCCAAGGTCAAGAAAAATGTGAAAAAAAACCGTGACTGTGCAGCACGTGGCATACGAAAGACACCTTCCCCCCACCTCCATGGTCAGAGTATCAGGACGTCATCAAATAAAGAAATAAACAAGGGCTTCAAGAAAGCGTTGATGATTTAGTCCTGCGGCAATGTCAACCGTGACAAAAGAGACAGAAGGTATGAACGTTGTGCGGATTGGATGAGCTTTGTTTCCTCTGTCGCCAGGAAACCACTTAACCCGCGGCAAGTTCAAAAGGCCCCCTCTTGACTCAAGTGCTACAGCCGTTGAGAATGGCCAAAGGAAATTTCGCAGCCAATGTACATCTGTATCTCGAAGAACGCCCTCTAGACAAGGATAGAAAATTCCATCCAATCAGATATGGAATAACAGCAGGTGATATATACTCATTCATATTTCGATATAGTTTCTCACTCAGAGACTGAGCTCCTTTCCTACTGTGGACTAACAGGTCGTATTTAAGTAATGCAGTACTTCATCCTAATAATATGTCGAAGCAAAGTATTCACCTGTCGCATGTTTTCGGCGATGAACAGCAAGTACACGGAACAGAAGCCAAGTTGGCAGATCATAATGAACGAATTGACCAGAATCCTGAAAAGTAGTCATAACAATGGCATTATAGCAAATTGCATGACTTCAGCGTTCATTCAGTACAGCTGAAGTTTCAGTTGGGAAACCGAGTGCGTCAAAAGCCACTTTACACTGCAACAGTGGATTAGATGCTCCTCTGTCAGATGTTTAGCTGTCTTTGACCTCACTGAGGATTATTCGAGATTTGTTCGTATCGCGAGTGGGTTGAGCAATATCGATCGTATTTGGTTCACCTTTTTGGCGACTGTAGACATGGTAAAAGTGGAAAGCGAGGTGATCTGAGATAGCAACTGTATGCCACAGTATTTCCAGCTTGGTGCATCAGTGAATGCAGGATGTCAACCCATCTTATTCTATGCCTGGTTTCGGTTCATTAAGATGAGGCCAAGTGCCCGGGACGTCTTCACAGGACGAGTACAGCGAAATGACCCTCATAGACGTGGGCTGCGACAGAGTGGCGATAATTCAAACCCAGCAACAATCGCCTCATCACGAAACTTGATAACTACGGCTGTGACGTAAAGAAGGCGTGCTTCCAAATTTGCCAAAGCCTCATAGCTGATCCGGCCATTCGTAGAGAGTGGCCATCTCCTACCTCATTTAAATTTGTATAAATCGTCCTCTTCCGTCACTGTTCTGAGCCATTCACTGCAGCGCAAATTTTGAACATTTACATAGTAATTGTGAAAAGCAGTATATACTGCTATTTTCATACATTGCCATCATGTAACATTTTTGTTTGACATTTTTTTTCTAATTTGTCACTGATATTGGCCGGATACAAGAGTTGTTTATAGCTATGCATATATTTGCATAATTGTACCCTCATTAACTTTCGGTCTAATTCGTGGCTTCCTGTTTTTTAACTGTGTTGAAAAACTATATTCTTTGGTTGTCTTGATCAACCAATAAGCCTTTGTGTATCTTTTGCATCGATGACAGGAAATGTAAAGGGCGAAAGAAACGTTTGTAACCATCGGCCTTGCGTTACGCTTTCGTGGTTTGGCCGCTGGTTTGTGGCATTCTTTTATTTGACGAAGCTTGTGACTCGACGCTCACCTCCGTCTGCTCGCCATTAGCAAGGAGTGTCATAATGGCTTTATTCGTAAGACAATAAGTACAGCTTGGTAATTCTCATACCTCACAGTTTTTACCTCTTTCCTTTCCAGCAAGTGGTGCCCGTTTTTATCAGCTCGAAAACAAAAGAGGTGAGCCGAGTCAGGCTCGAACACAGCACCTTTCGGTTCTGAGTCTAACACGCTTCTATCGATAAGCAACCTCTTTCTAACAGAATCTAAGGACAGTCGCATCTGAACACCCAACTTCACTGATCGACTTGACATCAATCTGTATGACACACAATTGCGACAACAACATATAATACGGCGCGTCTCACTATGGCAAAGGCAAATTCACTTGTACCACCTGGTCCCTCTCAGTACTATTTCTACTGGAGCAGTAATAATATTTTCTGCTTTACTTTACTTGATATTTGGCACTGCCTTTAGAAATGTGTTGTATTAAATATTAGCATGTCATTTGCATCCGATCGAGAAGAATGAGATCCAGTCAGTTATTAAACAAATCTTG